TACCAAACATGATCTTTCTGTGCTTTTCATCACAACCAAGAAAATTAACTCAGCTGTCACCAGAAGACTCTATCTTTCCACCACTTTGTCACCACACTCAAATCACCATCACGTACCTAATCCCTTGCAGCCTCTAACCTGGACTCCATTTCCATGACTGTATTACCTCACGAATATTCTATAAATGAAATTACCATTCGTGCTTTCAGATTGACATTTTTCACTCAAAAGATTTCTTTTGTGCTTTGTCTAAATTCTTGGATATATCAGTAGTCTGGTCCATTTTAATGTTGGGTACTATTTCATGATATGAAATAGTTTGTCTAATCATTCATTCTTTGAAGGAAATTTTGGTTGTTTGCATTTTGGACTATCAGAAATCTACTGTTCACGCACAAGTTTCTGAATGAAACTAAATTTTCACTTCTGTGGGATAGATGTCCAGGAAAACCAGTGCTATGTCATATTAAAAGTCTGTTTTCAGTTTTAAAAGAAATAACTAAAATAAATAGTTTAGAGTGGTTGTATCATTTTACATTTCAGCAGTTCAGCAGCACATTTTCTTTAAATTTTTTCTACATTTTTTCTTTTTCTACCATTCTAATAGCTGCACAGTAGTATCTCATTGTTGTTTTAATTTGTGCTTTTGTAATTGCTAATAGCTAATGACACAAAAATCTTCTCATGATTATTTATAGTCTGTCTATCCACTTCATTAAAATATCTGTTTATGTCTTGTGACCATCTTCTAATTAGACTGTTAGATGTTTCAGTGTTATGTTTTGGAAATTCATTATGTATTTCAGTCACAAATCTACTTTAAAATGCGTGGTTTGAAAATATATTTCCATAATATGAAATTTGCTCTTTCATCCAATGTCCAATATGGGCTATAAAGAAATACAAACAAAATATAGGGGACACACGGTGGTTTTGCTCCTATATCCTTAGGTGCCTAGCAACTGTATCTCTCACTCTCCATCTTTTACAGTTAGGTTAGGACACTGTTTTGAATTATCTCCAGAACACTTAATTATATTTAGAAAAGAACAAGGAATAATGCTTTCACTACCTTGTTGAAAATTGTAATCCCATCCTCTTGCTTTTCATAAAGCGTATATGTCTAAACAATGCAATGTTCAATTTTATTGTGTTATATACTTATAAGACGGTATTATGAAACTCGTTTTTGTTAGGAACTTAACTTTTTGACATTTGATTTTGTAGGGCTGAGCATGCTTTTTTGTGTGGTTCTGTTTACATATGAACCACAGTAAACCTCTTTAACACTCATTTCATACCTTGAGGAGTTACCTAACAGTTTTCCAAAATGCTGCAATATTCTGGAGAATAAGAAAAACAAAACAAAACAAAACAAAACCAACTTCTATGCCTATAACAGAGAATATTAACCGTGAATTTTGATTTTTGCAATTTATTTTGTCAACACTAACTGAAGCATAAAAAATCCAACCCATTGTAGTTTGATGCTTCTCTAAAGTCTATGACTGATGTTCTTTGATATGCAAATATATACATATATAATGTGTATATATATATATATATATATATATAATATTGGTTAAGAATTTCAAAGTAAAATGAGTCAATGGTATGGTTGATACACTTGTCTTTTAGTTTTGTAACTACATTTATGAATATTTTATTTCTATATTTGCACTGTTTAGTGTTTGTTGCATAACAAAGCCATCTCAAGGTACAGGAACTTTTATTGCTTGAGTCTGTGTTCAAACAAAAAAATGCTTATTTTACTTCTGCATGCTTCAGAATGCTCTGGCATGTTGAATATCTTAAAGCACTTTCAAATGTCCATAGCCACTAATGAGTCATCTGATGTGCTGTCTTCATCTAGGAGCCTATTGCAGACTTTTTGCATGACCACTGGGAAGGTTCTGAGAGACACTGGAAGCAAGCAAGTCTTCTTGAGTTCTTGGTAGTTTTGGCCCTCACGATTGCTGCACACTGCAGATCAAGACCTGTGTAGATTTACCATGGGCAGTTAGTGTTCCTGGGATGTGTTGTAAAGTCCCACTGTAAGACAATCTGGGTTCAGTGAAGGCATGAGGATTATGTCTCCTGTTTCAATCTCTTTAGTGGTTATGAAAGATGTGATTTCTCTCTATCTGTATATTATCTTGAGCTGACACTAGAAAATCAGTTCATTGTGATCCCACAAGACTTTAGAAGACATTCTGAAATATGAGGAAGTCAACCTAATATCATTAAACAATGTATTTTTCTATAAATATTAAATAATTATTTTTATATTCTTAAGGAAAAACTCATAATATTCTTATGTTCTTCTTGGAGTGCAAAATCTTATCCTTGCTTATAAATCCTTTTTTTTTTTCAGATGGAAAACTTATTCCATGTTGAAGTTATCAAGCTCAATTATGCCTCCATACAAAATCTTAATAAATAATTTTGATTGCTGTCTTTTAAATGTTGCTTATATTCATTACATTTAAGATATTAGTATGTGTTAAGTCAAACATGGAGATTGACTTCTAGCACTCAGGAAACTAGAGTCAAAGGACTTTTGATTTTTCTTTCATTAAGTATAATTTAAGATTCCAGACAATATGAAAAGTACATAAAGGCCTGAAAAAGTAACAGTGAGCTGACCATCAGTGACTTGGAACCTTAGGAAGGACATGATGATATGGACCCAAGGATTTATTTTTTCACCATTTACTCATCTGTTCTGACTGCACAAAATTTTGCAATTTGTTCTTTGTTGTGTTTTTCTAAATAACAAATAATCCACAGTTGTTCTTTACCTATTCTACTATCTCTAGGGAACTTTCTTTATATGATCTATAATTTTGGTTAATAACTTTTATTGGTTATCTTACTTTTTTCACAGTGTTACACTGAAACTTTTGTATCACTCCCAAAACTGATTTATCTTGAAAATAAATAAATAATTATGAAATTGTGGCTTGTAAATGCTCAGAAAAGATACATAAGCTCAGGCTTCTTGTTATAAAGGTTCCTTTACAACTTAAAGTTTCCATACTTGGGACTCTGTGCATGTGAGGCTGTGAAAATGGTCACTTTGGCAGTTGTAATCTAGCATGAATCCACTCCTTTCCTCTCTGTACTGAAGGAAACCTAGAGACGCCCGCTCAGTGCCTGCTGTATGTTGCTGTGGGAAGTATTGCTACTTTCACTTCTGAACGTTGGCCCAATGGATCAGAGACACATGGATAATTATGCTATTTTATATAACAAAGAGGTTTGATGTGTGTTTACCATTTCTGAAATAAACTCTATAAACCCAATAGAATACATTTATAAATAGAATAAATGAAGGAAACAGAGTTAGGTTAAAATATTGTATCATGTAAATTTAACTAAGGAAAACTCTCAAAAAAACCTTGCATCTGAAAATATCGTAGTGATAATTGAGACGCTACTAATACACTGAAGTTCTTTTAATGTAAGAAGCAATTCTGAACTCTCAATGTATATTTAAAGTAAATTTTGAATCCCTTACATGGTTGATGGCTGCATATGTAAGTATACTAAGATGCAGAGATATAAGAGACAGGCATAAGACTTGTCTCTTGTATAGATTAAAAATTGCTTCATGATTGCTGCAATCCTGGTGGCTTAAACAGCATTTGTTTGTTATCACAGTTTTCTTGCACCAGAGCAGGCCCCCCTGGTTGCCTTGTTTACAGTCTCATCAGACCGCATTCTCATGTGGAGTATGGATTTTTTTCCAACTTTAAGTTGTTGGCAGAATCCAAATCTTTTCATTGGTAGGATTGTGGTCCCACTATTTTGCCTGCCAGTTGAAGGTTGCTCTGAGCTCTGTCAGCTTTGAGAAGATTTAGGTGTGTGATTCTCTCCACACACACATCTGCTCACTTCTTCCCGACCGGCAGCAAAATCTGTTTTAGTTTTATTCGCTGACCCTTTGTGTATGCTTCTACCTGATCAAGCCCAGACACCCTGGATAATATTCAAATTGGTTACCTTAAAACTAATTTAAACTATTTGATACATTATATTTATACGATCCCTTCAATTTTGTCATCGTGTGAACCTCATATCTGTAGCATAAAGTAAATTCAAAGTCAAGATTATACAGGAGTGGGAATCTTTAGGGCCATATCAGAATTATTCTTACCACGCTTTGGAAATTTTCGTTCTACTGAAGGGTTTCCACTTTATTATAGTCCAGGTTATTCTGAGGAGTGCATAAAAAGTGTAGTGTTCGGAATGTGAATATATAACTGATCCTAGTGTATATTTTCTGTAAGTTATATAGGCAACTCCTACACAACGAGCCTCTCTAACCTGGAAAAGGTGCTAATATGTAAATATAACAGCTAGCTATCAATTTTTAAAGTAGTAGAGTCTTTTCAACACTGTGATTAGATTCTTGCATTTTATATCATTAAAAATTTACTGACAAATACAGAAATAATATCCAAGTCACAGGAATGAGCAAACGCTTGCTTGGGCGTGAATTGTGTTGCCTTTTATGGAATCAACACACCTTTCCACTACAGAACTAAGTTTCATGAAACATTTATTGCTTCTTGGCATCAAATCAGTAGGCTGTATCTTACAATGTGTGCTTTTGAATACTATCACCGATTTAAACTTGGGGTCTCATTCCAACGTCTATGACAGTTTAGTGAGAAATGTCAAGTATTAGAAATAAAAAATTGGACATATTGATAAATATTTTCTTACTTTTCCCTCAGAGTCAATAAAAATGTGCTCCATGTAACTTAATCTTGTGGTATTAACCTTTTGGAAAATATTATTTTATTTCTGCTCTTGATTCATGAGGACCTAAGCTCTTCCTATAAATTGACAAGAAAATCTGGAAAATTTGGATATAAATTTGCATGGAATGTATGTCTGCCTCATGGGTACAGACAGTACATTTCCTATGTAGATTTCATTGCTTCTATTTTGAATATTCATGGAATTTTTCTCTTTTTCTACTTCTCCTTTAGACTGCTTTCCAGAATGTTAAGATTGCCAGAGAAGTGATTGCAGGAAAGTAAAACATTGCTTTACCTAAATTCAGGTAAGAGCATTACTTCACAATAAATTATTGTGCATTTATCTATGAAAAAGTCATTTATTTACATTTCTTTTCAGATAATTGTTTTCTTTGATATGTGATTATTTGAAGTCTCTTTGTTTTAGAAATATAGCAGGTTTCTATTGTTTGAATTTTCTGGTATGGTAAGCACCACGATACCGGTAATATGTTGCCAATGCTTGGTCATAATTATGTTGTATTTCAGTAGATTTTTTTCATGGTATTCATTTAAACAACTATCCTGAATGCTTTTTCACCAACAAGTGAAAAAGCACTTAAAAGTATGACACACATCAGTTAATTTTTTGTGAGCCTCCTTTTTCAGGTAAAAGTTCAAAGCCTCCTCATTAAAATGAGAACTGAGTAGCACACTGTAGGGAGCCGTGGGGTCCTGGAGAGGAGGACATAGGCAATAGGGCTCCACACAGGTGTTTCCTGACATGCCTTACAGAGCTTTGGAACAACAAGTGACCTGGTGTGAAATTAGTAAAATGCACTAAACATACCTTCAGGAATGGTGTGTGAGTGAAAGCAGATGTACCCTCATGACATCTCTGGACTTGACCCATGCCAAGGGTACATTAGGAAGAAGTCACATTGTGTTAGAAAGGGTAAAGCTGGAATTTAAGCTACTAATCTAATTTCCTAATAGTTCTCATTGCAATTTTGAGTTCCTAAGAGTAAAACCACAAAGATTTGCAGTGTAAGTTTAAGAAAACTCAGGAAAATCATATCCAAAGTACTTTTCATAGAATGTGAGTACTGTAAAATGCATGTCCATATCGATATAGCAAATGTAGCTCAATATAATATAAAAATGGTAAAATACTTATGTATATCCCAAGCTTTATAACGCCATGGAATTTTAGGACTGGATACATCCGTACAGACTAGAGCAGAGTCACAGCTATGTTCTGAGAGCTATAGCCACATTCACAGGGGATTACAGGTATGTGGCTTTCAGAATTTTTCTGCTTACTAAGAATTCTGTTACACTAGCTTAGACCCAAATTTTCCAAATGGTTTTCCATAGCTAGATATTTTTTTTCATGGATTCACCTTTTCTTCCAAACAAAGCGAAGAAAAATCATAGAGAAATCCGATAGATAAAGGAGAGCTGGGCCAAGATATAGCTCAGTGGCACAGTGCCTACCTGGCAAGCAGGAGGTCATGGGTTAAATTCCTGGTAACAGAAAAACAAAACAAAGCAAAAACAAGGTAAAGAGACTGATACACGTAATGTGGGACTTGGCCTCCCTTCCACTGCCTCTCCTTCCTTCAGTATGAATTCTTACAGCAATCTCCAAACCTCCAGAATAAACATATGCCATCATTTCTTTGTAACTTCTGATTGTTCAGCACTTATTTGGTAATACATGTGGAAGAAATACCAAAGGACACAGAAAGCCTGTCCTACAAGAAGCACTTATAAATTTACATGTTTCTAACCATAAGCAGGAGTTACTATTTTGCAGTTTCTTGCAATTTTCTGATATCAGGTATTTTTCTCTTAGTCTTTCCCTTTTCTTGTGCAAAACACATGCTACAGAATCCCAAAGATCACACCCTGTGAAGTTTGGCTAAAGCCTAATAAATAGAATATCAGTTGTCTCTTCTCCACAATTTCATGTTCCACCTTTTCACTTTCTGGGGTTTCAGTCATCCACAGTCACCTGAAGCTCAAAAATATTAAATGGCAGTGTCCATAAAAGAACAATTCTTAAGCCTTAAATACTACATTATTCTGAGCAGCATGTTGAAATCTTGCTCTGTCATATGTGATATTAGCTGGGATATGGTTATACTTTTTCCTTAGTGTCCATACACTACATATTTCCCACCCGTTAGTCACTGAACAACTGTATTGCTTATCAGATTCACTGCTGCAATATCAAACTCTTTTCTTAAGGTAGAAATTAGTTTATCTTCTAATGGACTCAGAGCACAGGTTAGTGATGTTGACAGTTTTATTACAATGCAGTATCATAATTGTTCTCTTTTCTTATTAGTTATTACTGTACCTAATTCTTAAGTTCAACTCGAATCTGTGTATGTGTGGATGTGTGTAGAAAAAGATAGTGTACATAGAATTCATTATTATGCACAATTTCAGAAACCAGCTGGGTGCCTTTGGACATATTCTCCGTGCGTAAGACAGGACAGCTATGTGCATGTGGAAGAGGAAAAGGGCTGTTCTAAGGGGAGTATGGGAATTCTGTTGGGATTTGCCATTTCCCTTCTCAAAGCACCTTTTTTCAAACAGTTGCAAAAAGCAGTTCACATTTTGCTCTTTATCTTTGGGTGCATTTCAAAATTTCTCTATCTTCTTAAGTATTTATCTCAGCTTTTTATGTTGTATTTTTGCTCTTATTTGCTCACATTTCAAGCTAGACTTTCTCTGCTTTTACATGGAAAGTAGCCCCATGAGCAAAGCAGCCTTGCTAGGGTGCCAGTAACTGTTGCAATGGGACTATCAATCCCTGCCTGGTGTATACAGCCTCTCTACTTGGCTAGAGAAAATCTCAGACCTCCAGAGAATTGTCTTATTGTCAGAACAATATAAGAGCTTAAAAGTCCTCACTATGTAATGTAAATATTTAATAATTTAAGAGTAAATTTTATGCTGTTGCTGCTCTTCTGTGTTTTGGAGATCTGTCTTTCAATTTCATTGGTCTTTCCATTGTCTCTCTTTGTGTTATAGGAACTGCTCACAGGATGCAATTTCTATTGGTCCATTTGCCACCAGAGTCATTCAGGTTTCCAGTCCTCTCAAGCCCATTTGCGATATTATAGAATTATTGACTTCAATGATAAAACATCTCTGTTTCTAGTTTTCATGACTGTTCTCTTTATAATTTATAAAATAATTCAAATATCAAATGTAACCAAGGTTAACTTTGAGCCCAGCTGACTTCATATCTCAAGAAATATCCTTAAACTTTTCTGTCACTCACAGTCTAGTGTCTTGACTCTGTGGAGGTAACCCTTCTGGAGGGGAGGCAGATATAACTCCCAAAAAGGGTGCCAGCAGTCAGGAGGTTCCTGGAGACTGGAATCAGAGAGGCTGAAATGTGTTCATGTTGTTTGCTTTTTTCTGTCTTCTTCTTCTTCTTCTTCTTCTTCTTCTTCTTCTTCTTCTTCTTCTTTTTTTTTGTATGAGAGTTTAAAGAAAGTAACTATATAGTTTCTTTTTGTGACCCCATGATTTACTATGATGCTAAAATGCACAAAATCTATGGTATCCCAACAAACATTTCAGAATAAAAATCAGTTGATAGGCTCTTTCTGTAGTTATACCGTGCATTTCAAATACTGTTTTCCATGATGGAGAAAAGACTGGCTACAAGATTGTTTTAATGACCTGCTACACTTTTTAAAAGATCCTTTCCGTTGTTCTCCTTTCTGTCTCCTAGTCAGCAGAAATAGACTTTCTGCAAGTTCTTTATGTTGTTTTTCCTTTTTGAGGAGATTAGTCTGGAATGCTTTGGGCTTGGTAATTCGTTCTCTGACTATTCAGGAAAAGATTGGTTGTATAATGTTGGGATAATTTTGCCCAGGTAAAAACTACCAACATTCTCTCAGGTCTTAAAATGTGTCCATGAGCTTTTTTCTATCTATGAAAAAGAATCACAAAAAAAAAAAATGTAGGTAACCATCAAACACCTTTGGTAAGAGAAAACAATAAATATTCTAAGAAATATTGTCATAAATATTATCATACTTGATGCTGGTTAGCACAGAATTAGAAGAATCTTGGTATATATCAGGTAAAATATGGAAGCAGATTGTGTTTCCTGGGAGTGTGGATAAAATTCATATACTTTCCACTTCATCCACTATTTTTATTTTCAAATCCAGACTGTGATCCTAGCTTAAGAATTGCAATATTCCTACTGACTCTGCACAACATCTCAGTGATTATAAAGCCTTGGGTGCAAGCAAGGGATAATTTCCTAACATTTCCAACTGTCTCTCCTTCTCCTGCATTCAGGGTCTAGTCTGCAGCACAGCATCCATTGTGATTTCAATAGAGGAGGAATCCCAGAGCTAGGGTTCCAGGTGCACTCTGGGAAGACCCACAGAGTCCTTGTTCTGCTTAGAAGGCCTGGTTACAGCCATCAGAAGTTTAGGGACTTAGAAAATTGGGGTGGGGGTAAAACAACCAGTCTGTGGGTATTTCCACTGCAAATGTGCAGGGACCACACAGACATAGAACATTGGGTTTACACAATAATCCTCAAAGAAACAATCTTGAATTTTGAAATTCTGAAAGATAAGTATCTCTAAAATTAAAATCTCTTGGTTTTAAAATCCAGAACAATCTGTCTTTTGAAAAGATAAAAAAACAAGATGAGTCACCTCAATATATATCTATATATGTATATATATAGATACCTATATATATATATATATATATATATATATATATACACACACACACATATCTATTGTCTCACAAGCAGGTGAGAACTAAAAAATTTGACATTTTACAAATAAAAAATACGCAAATAGGATGTCAAAAATATTTTATGTGCATTAATAATACACATGTAAAGCAATGTTGTGACAATGCACTACTGAAGAGAGAAACTTTTGAAAGATAAATGTATACAATCAATTAGAAATGCTTCCAGTACTGAAAATAATGTGTAGTGTTACATGCTGGAGGGTGGGCTGGCTGGCAGACAGTGACTCTACAGTCTGCCTCCCTATATTAATGCCAGAAGTTAGGCCGGCTGGAAGAGTGTAAAATCTACAGGAACTCCAAGACCCAGAACAACTGGTATATAGATGTGCACGCAGTTCTGGAGAGTGAAGTAATCAGGAAGGCCAGTGTGTGGACGCATCTGAAGCAGCAGTGAGTAGACAGGAATTGGACTCCAGAGAATTCCACCAAGAGAAAACCTGTCCCAGCCCCTACATCCAGAAGCCAAAATCAGCTCCATACTCAGCACATGTGTTGGATGTAACATGGATATTAT